CGAAAATTTCAATTAAAACAAAGTGGACAGATTCAAGGAAAGATTTGAGAAAAATTTAGAAGGAAATTTGAAAAAAAAAAAATGAAAATTTTCAGTAGTCTGAAATGAACCTGGATCAAACCCAGTTAGTGAGGATCAAACCTTGGTGAGGCAGGAGGCAACTGAGACTTCCCTTTGAGACAGAGACACTGGCATCAACCATTCGGGGAGCTTGTTCTACTGTGATAACATCGGTGCTGTTAAGTTCAACTTTGGAATCCTCCCTCTAGCTTATTAGCACCAGACACCCAGCCCTGCCTTACTGCAGGCCACAGCACAAGACACAGCCTTGCAGCCGAGTGGGCCGGGGGGCCAGCCCCTCCATCCGCACACCCGCAGGAGTCATTTGCCACAAAAGAAGGGCAGACACAGTCCACGTGGAGCGGGCACCGCTAGAGCGTGCCGGTGACCAGCGGGGAGCATGCTGTTGGACTTCACAGGGTTTCTGTTACAGAAGGCCACTTCTCTGAGATCAGGAAATGTAGGGAGCTCCCTGGTGTCCAGCGGTTAGGATTTGGCGCCTTCAGTGCCACAGCCTGGGTTCAACCCCTGGTCGGGGAACTGAATTCCACAAGCTTTACTACAAGGCCAAAAAAAATAACAAGATCAGGAAATGTAACAACCTACCTGACACAAAGGAAATAAGCATAGGGAGTTGAGCAAAATGAGGAGTCAGAGGCATATGTTCCAAACAAAGTGGCATAACCTCAGAAAAAACTATATGAAGTAGAGATAAGCAACCAACCTGATAAAGTGCGTGTGCGTGTTAGTTGCTCGATCGTGTCCATGGACTGTAGCCTGCCAGGCTCCTCTGTCCATGGGATTCTCCAGAGAAGAATACTGGAGTGGATTGCTATTTACTTCTCCAGGTGATCTTCCTGACCCCGGGATCAAACCCAGGTCTCCTGAATTAGCAGGCATACTCTTTACTGTCTGAGCCACCGGGAAAGCCACCAACCTGATAAAGAGTTCAAGATAAGACCACAGAGATGCTCACCAAACTGGGGAGAAGGATGGATGAACACAGTGAGAATTTTAACAAAGAGAAAATACACAGAAGACCCTAACAGAGCTGAAGACGATAATAACTGAAATAAAAATACACTAGAAGGAATCAACAATAGAGCAGATGATACAGAGAAATGGATGAGTGATCTAGAGTAGTGTTACTCAAGCTGAACTGAAAAAAAAAAGGTTTTAAAAATGAGGATATTTTAAGAGACCTCCATGACAGCATCAAGCATACTAATATTTATAAGCATCCCAGAAGAAGAGAAAGGGGTAGAGAACTTACTTGAAGAAATAGTAGCTGAAAACTACCCTAACCTGGGTAAGCAAACAGATATTCAGGTGCAGGAAATATAGAGTCCCAGACATGATAGGCCCAAAGAGGTCCACACAAAGGCACATTAAAATTAAAATCCCCGAATTAAAGATGAAGAGAAAATCTTAAAAGCAGCAGGAGAAAAGCAACTAGGTACATACAAGGGGACTTTCATAAGGCTGTGAAGTTTTTCGACAAAAACTTTGCAAGCCAGAAGGCATACACACACACACACACAAACTTACAACCAAGAATACTCTACCCAGAAAAGTTATCATTCAGACTTGAAGAAGAGATAGAATTTAACAGACAAGCAATAGCTAACAGGGTTCACCACCACTAAACCACTTCTCTAAGCCGAAAAGACTGCTACTACTACAAATATAAAAAATATGAAAGAAAATTATCTCACATACATGTACTCAAAGTGTGAGAATGGAAAAGGTATTCCATTCAAATGGAAATGAAAAAGACAGCTGGGGCAGCAACACCTGTATCAGACAAAATAGACTTTCAAGCAAAGACTGCAAGGAAGGACATTTAGTATGATAAAGGAATCAATCCAACAAGAAGATGTAACAATTATATATGCACTCAACATAGGAGCACCTAGATATATAATGCAAATATCAACAAACAAAGTGAAAAACTGACAATAATACAATAATACTAGGGGGAATTTAACACCCACTAGGGGGAATTTTACATCAATTGACAGAACATCCGGACAGAAAATCAATAAGGAAACAATGGCCTTAAATGACACATTGGTACAGATAAACTTAATAGCTATTTATAGAAGATTCCTTATGAAAACAGCAGAATATACATTCTTTTCAAGTACATATGGGATAGATCACATGCTGAGCTACAAAACCTGTCTCAATAAATTTAAAAAGACTGAAATCTGAAAAAGAATATCATCCCTTCCCAAGTGATATCTTTTTTTCTGATCACAGTTCTAAAAAGCTTAGCCTTAAAGAACACCCATGACATTGATTTTATAAAATTTTGTAATACATTCTATGTCTATCCTTAAGATCACCAAAAGGTTTCAGAAAACCAAACATCAATAACTAAAAACAAAATGCAAATGAAATTGAAAAACACCTTTTGCTTTATTTCACGGCAAAATTAATAGAACTTGATTCTTACAGTGGCTTGGATTTTAAAACAGTATAGGAAGATGTTCACTTCATAAAGGCGCACCAAGGTTAGCCTCATTTTTATAACCTGAGCTTCCCTAAATGTTCCAGCTAACTCAGCCCTTTATGTCACTAAACCTTATGTAGAGCTGTGATTATATTGATCCAAAAGCTAAAAGCATAAGAAACTAGGAACCTGAGTATCATCCACCTTTAAAGAAAATGCCTATAAACAGCCTTGCCTGTAAATTTTAAAGGACTCATATTTCAGCTGATTTTCTATATTCATTGTATATAGAATGTACATGGTGAACTCTTTTAGCTAATTCATTGTAACTGATGACATAAAGCATAAATAGAACTGTTTTAAAAGTAAAGAGGCACAAAAGACTCAATATTCTGCAAGATTCCATAGCATGTCAATGTTTCTAACACCTGTAGGCAACCTGGCTCACTGGAAAGAAGGCTGGTAATTTAGACTAGATAACATTTTATAGTTTGTTCACTTCGTGACTCCCTTGGTTACAACTGGCCTTTCTCAAAAGTCTGATGTCTTTTCTTCTACCTACAATGGGATTAGTATATATTCTTGTTAAATTCTTTACTGAAAAACTGCAAAATATCTTTGTAAAGGAATCTGACAAGAATATGATACTTATAAATTTCTGCATGCAAAAATATGGTAAGAGAGCCAGTTAAGGATCACTTTGTTATACAGAAGAAATGAGCACAACATTGTAAATCAACTGTATTTCAACTAAAAAAAAAAAAAGCAATTAAGGATGGGTAATAAAATCATATATCTGGAATGTTATAGTTTTTCTCTTCAAGGTATTATAGTTTATAATTCCTAAAAGGCAATTTTATTTTTTATCAAAACTCCACCCTCACTGAGACTAAAAAGGAAAGGCCTAGCAAAATTCCAAAATGCTACAAATAGGATGAAGAAGATTTCCCCCATTTTGTTTTTATTATTGCAGGTTGTATGCTGTTTTAATAAAACAATAATACATAGTTAATAATAACAATTATTTCACCATATTCCAGAACAGGAATCCAGGTTCAGAGGACAAATAATTTAAGGAGGCAGTAGCACTGGAATCAACAGGTCAGGAAAATGCCAGAAACTGAAAAACTACTAACTTCTTGAAGTTAGCTTCTTGTAAACACCTCCTTTTAAAATGTTTTGTTCAAAAGATATGGTGATAGTATTAGAAGTCTCAGGATAATTTCTTGTAATTTCAAGAGTGATTTTCAGAGAACAACAACAACAACAAAAAGGTTTACTTTCCGTTTCAGAGAGGGATAACTACAGAGGGAAAGGCAGACCAGAGAAAGAAGGAAAACCAGGTGGACAAAATGTTACACAACAGTGATTTTTAATTACGAGTCAACATGGATTCTATGCCAGCATTTTGCAGCCGGAACACAAAGGTAAACAGCTGGGAAATACTCGGGCACGTTCACGGAATGTAGCGTAAGGAATAACAATAGTAACTGGAAATTGTCTTTATTTAAGAAGGAAATGTTTATTTATGGGAATTACTGGATCAGTAATCGTTGATTCAAATATTCAAGATAGAGCAACAGTGGCCAATTACTAGCGAAACACAGGTGCTATGAAAGTGAAAACTGCCGACCTGTAATAGGCGCTTGTCATATAAATTCTAAGCTGTTTGGTTTAAAACGCATTCATGCGCACCCGGAACATCGGAAAACCAGCGAGTTAAAGTCAAAGCAAATACAAGATTTTTATACAGGGCACATGACAGCGAACAATAGAGGTGGGGGAAGGTGGACACCCACCTCTGGTTTCTCACATAAAAAGCTCACAAATCAAAACCGTGAATGAACGGTTCAAGTTATCGTGTGTGTAAGGCAAACGGTACAGTTTAATAAGAGGGTGGGGGAGCGGGTAGGTTCCTATTTAAGATTAGCCTTCGCCTCTTCTTCAACCCAGATCTTTGTGCCTCTGTGCTACTGATGAAGTTGGGCGGTTACACACACAAGCGCCGCCAGCTATTTCGCCGGGTCTCCCACCGTTCAAGCACCGGGGGTACACACACCTGATCGCTTAGGAGGGCCGTACCGGGGGCGGGTAAGGACCGGGCTCCAGGCGCCGTCTCCTCCCCCGGGTCGGGAGGGAGCGCAGCGCCGCGGGAGCCGGGCGGAAGGTGGGCACTGGGAAGAGGAGGAGGCCGCCCCCTAGGGGAGCCGCGCCGCAGGCCCGGGGCCGGGGCGGGAGGGGCGGGCGGGAGGAGGCGGCCGGTAGGGAGACCGCGCCGTCGGGCGGGGCCGGCCCTCCAGCTGGCTCGGACCCCGGCGGGGCGGGCCGTAGACGGAGCGGCTGGGGCCCGGACGCCGGCCCGTAACCCAGGAGAGAGGGGGCGGCGGCGCGGACGGGACGGGGCGGCGGCTGCCCGCCGTGACCCTCTGCTCCCCCGCCCAGGCCCGGGCGCGAGTCGGAGGCGGCGGCGAAGGAAGGAGCCAGCATGGCTGAGACCTCGCCGCCGCCCACCGCCGGCGCGGAAAGTTGCAGCGAGGAGCCGGCGAGGGGCGGGAAGCAGCGGCCGGAGGAGCCGCGCCGCGCTCCAGCCGGGGGCGCGGACCGGGAGGACGAGGCGGGGCCGCCGCTGGCCTCCCCCGCGGGGCAATCGGAGCCCGGCTCTCCGGTGGCCGCCCCCTTCTTCCTTCTCTACCCGGGCGATGGAGGCGCCGGCTTCGTAGTGCGCCCGCCGCCGCAGCAGCAGCGCTCCTGGAGGACCCCGCCGTCGCCGGGCTCCCCGCTGCCCTTCCTGCTGCTGAACTACCCGAGCGGGGGCGGCGGCGGCGGCGGCGGCAAACACCGTGAGTGGCGGCGGGGAAGGGAGATGCCGGCGGGGAAGAGGGGCCTCGGCCGGGAAGGGCCAGTCAGGCTGCGCGGAGCTCCGCCTCCCGCTGGCTCCCCGGAGCGGAGCGGGCCGCCGGGCCAGCGGGGAGGCAGGGACGCTGGGGGCGGCTCTCGGGAAGCTCGCGTCCCGGGCTGCAGGGGTGGCGGGGGTGTGGGGGGACGGCCGCGGTCCCGGCGCCGGACTGTTTACCTCCGAGTCTCCCCAGGCCGCAGGCTCCCGCCCGGCCTCCCCACCTCTCCCCTCCCGGGCCGGGCGTTCGTCCTTGCCAGCCTCCCACGTGCTCGCGGTTCGCAGTCCCGGGTTTCGGGTGGGAGTCGTCCCGGGAGGAGCCGAGGAGGGGGCGGGGCCCGGAGCCCGGGCCGCCGGGCAGGTCGGCCGGCTACGGGCTCCCAGCGCTGCGGCCGCCGAGTAGGTGTGGCTGCTGCGCCGCCGCCGCCGCCGCCCGCGTGGCCTCGGTTGGACCACTGAATTTTTTACGAGCGTTCAGTCTACACGCGTAAATATCACAGATCCGTCCTCCCACAGTGGGAAGAGAAATCAGGATCTGTGCGCGGGGTGATGAGAAGGGAAAGTGTGGCTTGGGGAGGGCATGCCTCGGGATGATCTCGTTTGACAGGAAGAGGCCTCCACCTTTTTAAGAGCACTGTCACCGGAGCCCTCTGAATGCAGAGGACCCAGTTTGTGCTGGATCGGCCCAGAAATGCCTGGCGCTCCTTGCTAGTGAGCGCGGCCCTAGCGTAGGTAGTGTATACACAAGACTTGGGGAGTGTGAAGTCTGGTTTAAGACGACAGGATCTTAGAGTGTGAAAATGTGACTGAGGATACAAGACATGAAATAATTGCCGAAAACTTGGCCTGTATGAGTTCTGAAAAGGGAGACTTGCCTAAGGCGAAGAGAGAATCAGTCTGTCTCAGGTCTGTCTCAGAGCTAGAAATTTCTTTTCTTTTCTTTTCTTTTAGAAATTTCTTTTTTTAGCACCAAAGCAAAGCCTTTAACTGTTCTGCACTGCCAAGAAACTCTGACGTTGCCCTTTCTCCCTCTGATCCGTCCCCTAGAAAAAGATTAACATTAGTTGAATATTTTCTGCGTGCCTGTGCTGCGATGATCGTAGTTAACCCTCACATCGCTATAAATCACTATGCCGCTTTTTCAGGTGAGGAAGCTGAAAATCAGTGTGTTTTAAGTTATTTGTCCTAAGTAACAGTGTGAGAGAAGGAATGAAGTTGGCCAGATTCTTTGCCTACCGAGCGCAACGCTCTTTGAGTGAAGAGCAGACGTCCAAAACTGTGATTGGATGGTTCTTCCCTAAATTAGGGTCCACTGGGTTCACCGGCAGGGAGTCCTTTGTTAGCGTTTCTGTTTTACTTACCTAGAATGGGGGCCAACACTAACCATTGACTAACAGTCTTAGTAAAATCTTCCTTTGGCTGTTGCAGTAATCCACTCTTCTCCAAAAGGGAGTGTCTGATATTGTCAGAAGTGAGTCTTTTTATAAGCAGAAGAGGTGAAGTTAAGAATATTCTCAACACTAGTTTTCATTTTCTAAGGAATCTGCTTTCTGCTTTGTTCTTTAAGCACTACCATCTTCTTCCTAAAACTGTGTTTTTGTATACTGCTTATTAACCAGTCATTGTAGAATGAAGAAGATCCTCCTCTCAGTTCTTTATAACTCTGTGTAACAGTTGTGGTAGAAGGTGTAATGTACAAAAAATTTTCAATTATTGGCCAGTATCTGTTATGGGCATTACCTGAATTTCAGTTGATTTATTTGATTCCTTCCTCTTATAAGGGCTGACTTTTTTCTTTTTTTAAGTATTTTCAGAAAATTGGGGCCTTAGCTTGATCAAGATCAGCAGTGAGAATTTAAAGCTTAAATTTTGTGACTGTGATTCCTTGGTCTCTACCTTAACGATAGTAGATATGTGGCATGATTTGTCTGCACATAAAGTTTTCCTGGCCTTTAATTTCTGAAATAGTTTATACGTGTGTAAATACCCAGAAAAATTATTGGGAAAATATGTGTCCCACTTAACACTTTTATAGACCAGTCGCGGAGGGACAGTTTATATTGTAAAAGATCACTGATTCTTATGTTATTCAACTATAAAATTGTCTTAAAGTGGTTCTTATTTTGTACTGTTTTTATTTTTACCTGCTAGTTTAATATATACTTTAGAACACACGTACTTGGAAAAAGGAATACCCTAGATATTAATAAAAATACTTCCTTGTTGCTACTCTAGAGTCCGTGCAGTATTGCTTTGTGTAATGTACTCGGATATCAGAACCTGGGGTCTCCTGATTCCTCATTTGAGCAATCTCAGACCAACTGTTTCTAAAAGACTTCTCACTTCAGTTACCAGGGCAGTACTTAGACTCAGCCTCAACACGTAATGAATATTTGCCTCTTCAACACCAGATTTTTAACTAATGTATGGCTAATGTATTTGCCAGAAGTGTATACATATACAGTACTTTTGACCGGGTGTGTATTAAGGTATTATTATCTCTTCATTTCAGAACTTTTGACTGTACTCAGAGATTTAAAAAATTAGCCTTTACATTTGAGTTTAGGAGCCTTGTTGTAAATGACACCGATGAAGAATAGCAAAAATGTGTGCAGAGGAAGTAGCCTAAACTGTGCAGGAATCATGATATATAAGGTTTCAGTGTAAAATCTTGCAGGATATACGGTCTATAAAATAATGAGCTTAAATGCAATGTGAAACTTTTCTGATGTGCCTTGTCAGATATTGTGTCACGTTCTGACTCTGTGTGTGCTAGTAATCTGCTAAATTTTTATGTTTCTAGCTTTTAAGTCTCAAAATTCTACCATGCCTTTATTTTTAAATAAAAATTACAAGTAATGCATGCATCTGTTCTTACTCTTTAAATGTTTTATAGTGCAAAAGTACATTGAGCACCAAAAAAATTAAAAAGTACATTGAGCATGAAGTGAACTTTCCTCTTTGTAGACCCTCAAGCCCTCCTGTCCCCCAGCTTCTTCCATCAACACCGTAGTTTATTATCAGAGAATACCACCTTTGAGTTTGGTGAGTTTTCTTCCAGAACTTTTGCACGCATTCACACAACTGTGTGTGTTCATATTTCATGGGGCATTCTCCCCCTTGGCGTATGATTCTTCATTCCAATTTTTCATCAGCTGTCTGAGAAGGAGCTTCTTGCATGCCACAGCCCAATACTTTTGAAACCGAGTCCCCCTAAAACACAGTTCTTATACCGAGCCTATGGTTAAACCCTCTGTTGAAAACTTCATTCTCTTTCTTGTCCCACAACTGTTCCCCTCAGGATTAAAGAGTTTCAAAGAAAAGGGGGGATTGAAGCCAAGGAGGACTCTTTGGGGTCTTTCCAGGCACAAAGTCATTCTGTGCCCCCCATTTCTTGTTTGTAAAAAAAAAAAAAGCCTGTAGACTCTTAGGCCTTTCCTGAGTGCCAAAGAGCAAACTCAAGCCAAGGACAGGTTAATGAAGAGGACAATAGAGTCACAGGACTCCTCCTTTCTCCCGAAGGGATATAGATAACAATCTGACACCTACCTTTGAATTGTTCTGTAGAAACCAAGAGTCCCACCCAGGTGGAGGATGTCCACCACATGCTGATCTCAAGCCTGGTAGACCCCAGACTGGTTGGAACCAGAAAGTTGAGATTCCTGAAACATAAGCATGTTACCAGCCAATCAGAAGAAGGTCCTTGAGCTGATCGTGCATCCTACGACCCTCTCTTGCCTGAAAGCCACCCAGGAGTTCAGGTCTTTTGAGCATGAGCTGCCCATTTTGCTTGCTTGGCGCCCTGCAAATAAACCCATCCCTTGTTTCAAACACCTGTGATCAGAGTTTGGCTTTCTGTGCCAAGGGCACACCAGTAACACTATTAATGCCTTCCTTTCCATCTTAACTTTTGAGTTGTCTTGTGGGTGGACAGAATGGACAAGAGATGGCTTCTCCTTCCTTGGTCAGAAGGAAAAGGCACCCCTGCCATCTGCATGCTTATCAGCTTCTACTGACAGCTTTTTCCTCTTTCAGCTCCCAGAGCCAGCACAGACGTTTGTGTTTAAGGCAGTGCCGTGCAAATAGCCCACATCTCTGCCCTTTTCTCTCTCGAGTACAGCAGTGTACAAAAAAAGTCACACTCACAAAGAAGCAGCTTTCTTTCTGTATTTGTGTGTGCTGTTTTGAGAAGGGAGGAGGGCTAGGAAAGGAATAGAAAGAAGGGAGAAAAAGCTTTGGGTAGCACTGGCAGCGTTACTATGACTACCCACTTCAAAGTTGAGTATATGTAACAGTAAATGCCTTGGTTGAGCCCTGGAAAGTGCAGAGGACGAGGCTTCTAGAAGCATTCAGCTGTTTCTCACAGATGCACTTTAAGAGTCCATGATGTAGGGAAGGAACTTTCTCATTTACATATAAAACCAGGAATGTGTATTTAAGGGGAGAAAGTCAATTTTATGTTCCCAGTTTCATACACACATTGACAGTATAAAGATATGTATATATTACATATATATAAGTGTGCATATATATGTTATTTGTATATGTATGTATTCATTGACTTTATTCAATAGGGATATTTCTATTATTATGTCTCCTTTTTTCATTGTTTAATAGTGCTCTAGAAAACATTATACCTGGTTAGGAGTTGAATACACATTAATCAGTTCATCTGCTGTTCGCTTTTTAAACTTTGAAAAGACAAAAGTAACTTTTTCTGGTTTTGTAAATATAGAGGCATCTGCCCCAAATGCAGAGGTATGAAGGGAAGGGTCCAGCCATCAGAACGGAAAAGTTTTGCACATTTACCTCATATTAGTAGGTTTTTGCTTGATTTGTGACTTTTAAAAAGACAGCCTTTTGTTATAACCAATGTAAAGCAGTGCCTTTCTTTACAGCCTTGTGATTCACGAATCTATAGCCATCAGCTCTTTTCCAACTGTGTTCAGAATACAAGGAGCCACTTTCTGGTCCATGAAATGCTGTTTTGTCAAATGGCAGATATAAGGACCCCTAAGAAAAGGGGGAAAACCTCAGAAATGCAGCATCCTCAGTGTATAATTGTTTGTAGCTTGGGGACTCCCAGAGACCTGTAATTTAACCCTTGATCTTGCTCAGTCACTGAGTCCTGTCGGATTCTTTGTGACTCCAAGGACTGTAGCCTGCCAGCATCCTCTATCTATGGGATTTTCCAGGCAAGACTACTGGAATGGGTTGCCGTGCCCTTTTCCAGTTTAGTCCTTAAGAGTATCTGTTAATAAATCCAGGTGGGTCCTTTCTACATGTGGTTGAAATGACCTGGGATCCTGAGCATTTCAGGCCCTGGGTTGTGCCCCAGTTCCTGCCTCACGACTGAATTAGCTGTCTGCCTCTTGCCTTCCTGATGTAAGTTTCATCACCACTGCTGGCTGGACTGTCACAGTTGTCTCCCCAGCCATCTTCTCCCCTTCTTTTCTGCC